CTAGCCTAAGAGACTGTCTTAGAACCACTGTTACTTAGCACATGCAGTAGGAAATGGAAGCCATCTCTTTCAAAGCAAATGATCTAGCTTCCGTAGACCGCAGCCCACAAACTAGGCTGAGCTCAGAGTTCCTAAGGATGCTGGAGGAGCTGAGCTCCTGAGTACCTGGCCTGGCTTTATTTTCCATTTATTTTTTTAAATTAAGTAAGCTTTATACTCACCATGGGTCTTGAACTCAAGACCCTGAGAATCAAGAGTCACATGCTCTACCTACTGAGCCAGTCCTGTGCCCCTTGCCACCACTTTAACTGTGGATGCTCCACTCACTGTATTTGCTTTATGTATTGGCCTTTTGTGTAGGATTTGGCTTAGAAAAAGGGTTGAGGGGCGCCTGGGTGGCTCAGTTGGTTGAGCGTCTGGTCATGATCTCAGGGTTGTGGTACTGAGCCCCGCATGGAGCTCTGTGCTCAGTGCAGAGTCTACTTGGGATTCTCTCCCTTCCTCCCTCTCTGCCCCTCTCTCTTGCTTGTGTGTGTGTACACATGCTCGCTGTCTCTCAAATAAATAAAAACAAATCTTAAAAAAAGTGAGATACGTCACAGAACCCTGGAGCACATGGTCCCCTGCCTTTCTTTGCCTATAAGTTGTTGAGTATTTGCCTTCCCCACCTTGTCTACCTTCTTTTTTCCTAAAGTTATTCATTCATTATTGCCTAATCGTGTCCTTAGGCAACAGTAGATGTTCTGGGCTACTTGAATTTTTTCTTGATAATGATTAATAGAGACAATGATGTTTGACCAGTTCTTGGGAACTTTTGGGAATTATAGGCACCCACTTCATGTATCTTTAATTCATGTAGTTTGTGGGGGCTGCCTCATGGAAAAGGAAGATACTCAGTTTTACAGTGGCAAACTGTCGTTTCTTTGTTTTCTTTCAGTAAGTTGTGATCACTGTAGCACTTTTGCTTTTTCCCCTCCTAATAATGATAATCTTATTCCTTGGTATATTTCCTCCAAAATGTGCTTGGAGACAGGATGTGAGCTTGTTAGGAGGTTCTACAGCTCTTGCGTTCTTTGGGCTTACCCCTTCCCTAGAGTAACAAACATGAAAATGCTGCTGTGTATCCCTTCTCTCTAGAGCCAGCTGGAGGATCAAAGGGTTTTTACAGTGGTAGATATCAGGAAGTGTCAGGTGGTTTGTGCTTGCCTGGGGTGGAGGAATGCTGGCAAGCATTTGTTACCTTGACTATTAAAATTTTGCCAGTCCATTTTTTTAAAAAGAAAGGGGTGGGGGGAGGATGCCATAAGGTAGTGTTCTGCTTCCAGTGAGGCTTTCACAGTCCCTGAAACCAATGCAATGCAACATTTCTTCTTCAAATATGAAACTGTTAGTTGAGCACAGAGCATCACGTTTGGTTCTGTGACATGGCCAATCTAATACCTCACCCCCATCAGTAGAAATTTCTGTAGTAAAAATGCTTACTCATTAGCCAGACATTTTTCTTATTTCTGGGATTCTTTCTTTCTTTCTTTCTTTTTTTTTTTTTGAAGTAGACTCCACACCTAATGTGGGACTTGAACTAGGACCCTGAGATCAAGAGTTGCATGCTCTACCAACTGAGCCAGCCAGGCACCTCTCTGGGACTCATTTTTGTCATCTGCTCTTTGAGAATACCTTAATTTTGAGAATACTTCAAATTCTGGAAATCATTCATTGACTCAGCAAACCCTGATTGGGTGCCCTGTGTTGGGTAGTAGGAGAAAAAGGTAAATGAGCAGTAATCTGGAATGTAAATAAATAAGTACTAATAAATACTGTAATGGGATACGAGTGCTATAATACGTCATAAAAGTCTTGTTTAGGTTACTCTTTACATCAGGCCTCCAAGATCATCAAGCTCATCGTTTTCAATACCTTATTTTTAGAAGTAACACAACCCCATTTTTGAAGGAAGATTAGCAAGGAATAGGGGAGCTGCTCTGGCTGAAACAGTTGGGGGAAGCCCACGATTTTCCTGCTCTTCCTCATGATAAATACCATCCTTCCTGCACCTTACTGAGGAATGCCTCTCATTTAATTATTTTTAATTTTATTTATTTGAGAGAGCGAGCATGGATGGGGGAGGGGCAGAGGGAGAGGGAGAAGCAGGCTCCCTGATGAGCAGGGAGCTCCATGTGGGGCTTGATCCCAGGACCCCAGGATCATGACCTGAGCTGAAGGCAGGTGCTTAACCGATTGAGCCACCCTGGTGCCTGCCTCTTGTTTTATAAATGAAGATGTTGGAATTTCCGGAAAGTCCTATAATACAGCTAGCCAGTGCAGGCTTGGTAATAAAACTTAGTTCTCCTAATTCTTAGCCTGCTTGTCAGTCATGCACCAGATTGATAAATGATCATTAGATTTCTTCCAGTATTTTGTTCCATTCCACAAAGAAGTCAGTACTGTCGGGGCTTCACCTCTACCTGACTTTGTTACTGAGCTTGAAGCTTTAAAGATTTTGCCTCCTAGTGATCCAAATACAAATCAGTCCTATTCCCAGGAAGGTACTGTGACCCCTTTCATTGTCATCTGTGGACAGTGCCAAGTTGCCCTATTTAGTAACACCTCTTCTGTTTTCTGGTATAAATTCAGTTTCCCCAGAAATCTCTGTAAAGGATATTTGATAAAGGTGTGACAAACAATGTGAAGCATAGTGCCAAAATGTCATCTTGTCTCTGTAAACTGACAAAGGGATAAGAAGAGTATTAGATGTGTGTCCTTTCTTGAATGACCTTAGTGCTGCTTCTGAGATTCAAGCAGGGTTTTTCAACCTTGGTGCTATTGACATTTTGGGCTGGATAATGGTTTGTGGTGGTGGTGGGTGTGTGAGTGCACGTGTGCATGTGTGTGCATACGTGCACTTGTGTTTGTGCTTTCTGTGCATTGCAGGGTGTTGAGCAGCATCCCTGGCCTCTACCCACTAGATACCAGTTGAATGGCCCACCCCCCAGTTGTGACAACCAAACATGTCTCCGGACATTGCCAGATAACCTGTGGGGGTAGGTGTATGCCAGAATGGTCCCCAACTGACAACCATTGGGTTGGGGATTGAGTGTCATGAGATGTAAGAGCAAATCAGATTTATCACAAAGTCAAGTAAATATTTCAGTTACCTAAACCCTTATTTATAGTGATGAGCTATTCTAAAGAAACAAAACAACATGCCCTGTCCTCCATCCTGACCATAGCATGAAGGGGACCTTCATCTAACTCATGTTCAGAGTGTCCCTGAAAGAGTTTGAACTTAGGTGATCATCTTCTTTTAGATCCTTTGCAAAGGGGCGCCTGGGTGGCTCAGTCGTTGGGCGTCTGCCTTCCGCTCAGGTCATGATCCCAGCATCCTGGGATAGAGCTCTGCATCGGGCTCCCTGCTCAGCGGGAGGTCTGCTTCTCCCTCTCCTGCTCCCCCTGCTTGTGTTCCCTCTCTTGCTGTGTCTCTCTGTCAAATAAAGAAATAAAATCTTAAAAAAAAAAAAATTTAGATCTTTTGCAAAATTTATTTTGCTAGAAATTCCAAGATTTTTCTATTCCTTTCTCAGTATCTAGTGTTATCAGAATGAAAACAGAGGTTCTTCACAGTGAGCCTTCAACACAAAGTGTGGGACCCCAGTACAGATTTGATGTTGCCTGTAAGGGTTTTCATTGAGACAGGGGTATTTCCATTTCTTGTCTAAAAGTATATAGGGGGTTGCCTGAGCGGCTCAGTCAGTTAAGTGTCTGCCTTTGGCTCAGGTCATGATTCCAGGGTCCTGCTCAACGGGGAGCCTACTTCTCCCTCTGCCTGCCACTCCGCCGGCTTGTGCACTTGCTTACTCTCTCTGACAAAATAAATAAATAAAATCTAAAAAAACCCATAAAAATAAAAGTATATGGGAATATTCGTTAACTTCAAACTTTAAGGGACACTTTCTTCAATTAACATTATACAATATGTTGCAGTTCTGTAAGTAATTTATCTCATTAAATTCTCATATCCACCTTGCAGAGTTGTTACTACTATCCTTACAGGTGAAGAAACAGATTCTGAGAAGTAGCTGGTCTAAGGCCACCCAGCTGGTGTGTGACAGAACCAGGCTTTGTTTTCAGTTGTGCCTGACTAGAGCTTGGGCCTTGACCACTTCCCTGCTTTTCCTTTTGGCTTTTGTGGCCAATGGATTCTTTCTTGGCTGAGCTCAGTTCAAGTAACATTTGTTGGGTGCCTGCCACAGGTCATCCATGCAGTGCAGCCGTTGCCTCGCTTCCTCCTGTGTCACATCAGCATATCAGCATTGTGTTGTGCAGAAAGGACTTGTATGCATATGCTTGCTATTAGACTGCTCTGTGCCCCTGACCCCTCTACCAGTGGAGGTAGGGCTCACTGGAAAAGCTGAACTCCTTACTCTGAGACAAAGTCCCAATAGCTGCTGTTGCTGGTCCTCTGCTGCCGTAGACAAAGCTTTTGTAGGATGGAGCCAGCCTCTTGGAGTTACTGGTTCTGAGGCTGGGCTTGTTTCCTTGCCCCGACTCCACTCACCCACCCCTTACCCCCTGCTGTCAGAATCTAGGCAGTCATTGTGAAAAAGCCTGGGAATAATACCTAACTCTGTAGGCCTGTGGGAACATGTTAAAATCCCTTATAGGTCCAAAGTGAGTTATAGGAACCACCTTGTTAGATTGACCAATACCTTGGCCTGTGGAGTTCCTAATCTTACATGAAGTTTATGTTGACATACTTCCTATCCATTGCACTACTCTTCCCAAGTTAGACATATATTTTTAGTAGGCAAAGATGGGACCGAATAGATTTTTTTTAAAGATTTATTTATTTATGAGGCAGGGAGGGGCAGAGGGAGAGAGTCTCCAGGCAGATTCCCTGCTGAGGGTGGAGCCGGACGCGGGGCTCCATCCCACGATCCATGAGATCACAACCTGAGCTGAAACCAAGAGTCCAGTGCTTAACCAACTGAGCCACCCAGGCACCCCAGGACTGAATAGACTTTAAACACTCAGCACATGGAGAACATGCTTTTAGATTCTTGAAACCAGATCTTCTATTTCTCTGTAGTTACTATGGTGATAGATGCTATAGAGATGTGCAGATCCTATTGTGACCTCTCCTTGGTGCAGGGATGCCGTGAGTCTCTGGCTTCATTGTCCACCAGGGCCTGGCAGGTCTGGCTGCTTCTCTTCATGCACTGAGTGGTAGAGGTGCTGTCCTCGCCTCTGGGACCAGCTGTCTCCAGCCTTGGCCTCCCCTGCTAGTCAACAAAAGCAGGACTTGCCAGGGAACAATCTTCTCGGGTTGCCGTGTAATCTAAGCAAGTGAAGGTGAGTGTTGTGGGATGGGCAGCACCAGCTTCTGAAGCTTCAAATGGGAGCCTGAGCATTTACTTCTCAGGAAACATAGGATTGAGCTAACTTTTCGTACTAAAAAACAAATGGCACTCAGTGGTGTAGAAAACCCTTCCATTGCACACGTAAATGCAGTGTAGTATAGCCTCATTTTCCATTTGCTAGTAGTCTGGGGTGACATCATACTAGTTGCACATGCATGTTAGCTGGGACACAGGAGGAATGAGCTTGAATTCAGGAAGGACTTGGTCCCAACTCCATGATTAACTTTCTAAGTGACCTTGGCCATATTACTTAAATCTCTTAATCTTCATTTCTTCCCGGTCATTGGGACCCTGCTTGAAAGTGATTTAGCCTTGTGTGCCCAGGTCTGTTAGAGTTCAGTCTGGCACTCTTCCTCTCTACCATCCTCCCAGGGTGGATTCGAGGACCTTCTGTTTTTACAGGGGTGCTGCTGAGCCACTGTTGAGTTTCTTTGTGGAGAGGAAAGCACCTGGGAGCCGATAGCACCTCATTTTCCAAAATGAAGATTCAGCAGAAGCATCCTAATTAGCCACTCTCCCTCCACCCCCAAATGCTGTTCATAGTCATCGTATCTAAGAGAGAAGCTAAAGCCACATGTGACAACTGTTACACCTGAACGAAAGGGAATAAAGACTCCGCTTAAGCCACAGGACATATTTTCAGGATTGTTCCAAAGTTGGAATAATTTTCACTTGATGGTACCTGGGGGTGACTCATGGTCATGTCAGCATTTCCTTTGTTAAAACCAGCCCTTGTGGGATGTCTGGTGGCTAGGCTTTATTCTTATAAAATGTGATCCTATCCATTTTAGAATTCAGTCAGGGCTTCAGCCCCCACCCCAGGTGCTTCTCATGGGAAAGAGTCTTCCTCTTCTCAGCCCTGAGTCTTGGTCCTCTCCTATGAGGTGGGGTGACGCTCAGGGAACAGGAGAGTCTCATATTTATTTCATTCATAGTAGGAATTCTTTTTACCAGGACTTCCCTTGGGAGCAGCAACAGTACACTCTTGGCCCCTACTCTGAGCTCTTTTCAGTGCTTCAGGTTTCATCCCCAATGTCTGCTTTTGAATGCTTGCTCAATTGTATTTTAACATGCTGGAGATGAGTACACCCCCCACCCCCCAGTAAAAAGAGAGCTTGCCCAAGAAGTTTTGGACTTCCTGAGCGGTCAGTTTTTGAGGTTACTAAGAGGCTAGTGCCTTTGGACTAGTTGTTTTGTTTTCAGGTTGCTTATTGTCCACATGTGCAAATGTGTACTTAGTAAATCTGATGCAAGAGTTTTGTGTCCCTGGAGTCTCTACTTTCCCAGGATTCCTTGTCTGAAACTCTTTATCAAGAGGTTAATAGTCATCCAGTCAGTGAACTGTGGGACTGAATTCACCCAGTGATTAAAATGAAAGGGATGAAGGTTGTGTGTAAGATTTCCTGAGGAGTGGCAGCACCAGAGTTCAGCGGAGACTCCAGGCCATTCCTTGTATAAACTAAAAAGCTGTTGACATAGATGATATGGTTTCCTCAGAGTTTTGGGAGGCACCTCTTATCAGGTGCCTTGTTGGGTTAGAGCGGATTTACCCCGACCCACTGCTCCCAGCATCTGGCTCAGCCAGCATCTGCAATGAGGATTTTCTAGCTGCAGTGGTCACATGTCTCTCCTTGGAAAGAACAGGTATTCCCATTTTCTGGCACCGCCAGAGAATGAGGGCCAACTCAGAAGACCTTGGGTGTGACTTGATCAGAATTATCTGTTGATTCACTGGGGATTTTGTCATCTTTCTCAGTGTTTCGTAATCACTCAGCTGCTCATTTTCTTTCTTTCTTTTTTTTTTCTTAAAGATTTTATTTATTTATTTGACAGAGGGTGCACAAGCAGGGGGAGTGGCAGGCAGAGGGAGAGGGAGAAGGAGGCTCCCTCAGGGAGCCCAATGTGGGGGCTCAATCCCAGGACCCTGGGATCATGACCTGAGCCAAAGGCAGATGCTTAACCGACTGAGCCATCCAGGCACCCCTTAGCTGCTCATTTTCTTCAGCAACTTCTTCAGTAAGAGACCATCAACATTTGAGGCAGCTTTACATTTCATGAAACACTTATATACACATTAACTCATTTAGTCCTTACAGCGCACTTGAAAATGTGAGGCAAAGGGAGTTACCCTATTTATGGATGAGGAGACTCAGCCTTCAAGGAGTTATGACTTACTACAGCCATGCAACTACTAAACATTGGGAGTCCAGATCTCAATCCTAAATCTTTAAAGCTCTAAAGACCATGCCCTGTGTGCAAGGCCCGGTTGCCTTTCCATTCCCAAAGGTGAGCTGAGTCTATAGCAATAATCAGTAGTTAGCAGGAGCCCAGAAGTGCCCCAGTAAACTGACAGGTCCATGAGTGTCACTCCCTTGCCCCTCTCTACATTCCAGGTTCCCTGAAGTCTGGGAGCAGAGCAGGGCCAGTCAAGTGGCTGTTTACCTAAGGTAGATGGCACTTCTGCATGTCCTTTCATTGAATGGCATGCAAAACTGGCCCTTGGTGCAATCAATGCTGGATTGTAAACCGTGCCAAAGAGAACAAATTCTTGTCCACACCATATCCAGGAACAGGGCTTTTTCCTCCTCTTGAGAGTTTCCTGGTGTCCTAGTAAGGTTTGAAAAGCTCAATCGTTTAGGGCAGACCAGCTAGTAAATAGTTCTAGGTTCATACTCAATTCCTTTTGTAGCATTTGTATCATTTAACATTTATTATCAAGTGTTTTCACAGTCATTATCTTATTTGATCCTCCCATTGGTCTTTTGGTATGGAACACTGGGCAAGTATTCATTCCTACAGGTGAAAAATAGAGAGATTTGGAGCTCTGAAGGGATGTACCTTCCTGTCCCCGGTTTCTTCTCTCAATAGTAGCTCTAGGGTTCTTTGTTCCCAGATCATATAAAGGGTTTATATGGAGGATGTTAGAATTTACTCTTTTTATGTTGACACATATTCAGAAAAGAATTTTTAGGTAAACAGTTTATTTATATCTGCTGAGGCCCCATGGGACTTTGTGGCATCATTAAGAATTGACTTGGCCTGATTATGGTATTGGTAAATGGGAACACGTATTCTCTCACTTAAATAATGAAAAGCCTTTAGGGCATATAGCGAAGGAACAGATCCTATAATCCAGGAAAGAGAGAGTCTGGGATTCTTGTATTCTAACATCTATGGGGCATATAATGAACATGGTTTCTGTGAGAGGTAGTATATTATTTTTGAACTGTGACCCTCCTGAATGTCACAATATAAGTGAGTGAGGTGAGATCATAGACAAAGATGTATGCTATTGAAAGGTATTTATTGAGGGCGCCTGGGTGGCTCAGTTGGTTAAGCGACTGCCTTCGGCTCAGGTCATGATCCTGGAGTCCCGGGATCGAGTCCCACATCGGACTCCCTGCTCAGCGGGGAGTCTGCTTCTCCCTCTGCCCCTGTTCTCTCTCTCTCTCTCTCTCACAAAAAAAAAAAAAAAATTAAAAAAAAAAAAAAAAGGTATTTATTGAATGCAAAAGTAGAAGACACACACAAAACTATGGGCAGTGGGAAGGAACCTGCACCAGTGACCAGAGGTAAGCCTTCAGATAAAAGAAACGAGTCCTGGGCCCCTGTGTGGCTCAGTCGGTTAAGCATCCTGCCTTCGGCTCAGGTCATGATCCCAGGGTCCTGGGATTGAGCCCCACATTGGGCTCTCTGCTCAACAGGGAGCTTGCTTCTCCCTCTCCCTCTCCCTCTGCTGCTCCCCCTGCTTGTGCTCTCTCTCCATCTCAAATAAATAAATAAAATCTTAAAAAAGAAAGAAAGAAAAGAAACTGGAGTCCTCATTACTTCTAGTACTGGCTAAGAAAAGTAAGCAGAGCCCAGTGGAGTGCCTGCCCTCATAGGCACTTGGGTGAGAAGCTGCCTCCTGGGGCGGGGGAGTGCACGTTGAACTGGGCCTGTTTGGAGGGCTCAGAGGGGGCCAGGGAGCCAGTGCCCAGCTTTGATGTGAAGAGAACAGCTGAGGCAGGGACTACAGGGGAGACCCTGGGCCTTCTGGAGCCCCGGGAGGGGAGCAGTAGAGAAAATACAACATAGCTGGGTAAATGCAGAACCCAGCCTAACTGGGCCCTATGGGATGAGAATGGCCTTGGCCAGCTTAGAGGCATGGGAAACACAAAACAGGTCATCAGGTAGAAAATTCAGACCATAAGAAAGAGAGGGAAGGGAAGGAGGAAGGGAGGGAGATATGAAGAAAGAAAACCAGATTACATACCAGTTAGAGGCCTAATACCCAATCAAAAAATTTTTCCCCAATTAAAATTATTACTTTATTTGGTATTTATTTATTTTTAGTAATCTCTACACCCAGAGTGGGACTCAAACTCCCGACCCCAAGATCAAGAGCCGCATGACTCTTCCAGCTGAGCCGGTCAGGCACCCCTGGTATTTTAGAATTTAACCAATATTTTCTTGTCCCACCCCCATTTAGCTAGCATTCTCAGTAGGCATTCTGTTTGTGCATCTACAACAGTTACAACTCAAGTTGGAGACTCCCCAGGGTACTGACTTGTAAGTGATTTGGAATGTGGCATTGGACTCTGAGAAACTGAGTCTGAGGGAGTTTTGATGATCCGTCTTGTAGGAAGCTTCTGGTTTAACTGGGGAAACAACGATGACAGCACTTGTGAAAGCCGAAGAATAATCACGTCTTATTAATGTAATGCCAGTTCTATACAGGAGTAAACTCTGAGCTGGGAACAGCCTTCTGGTAAGCAAGCAGGGACTCCTGGTGCCCAACCACAGGCTGTTTAGTGGGGAGGGGTGGGAGCTATGGCGGACCCAGTATAGGAGTCTGAGCGGCTGCTTACGCCTTCCCTGTGGCGGTTTCCTCCTCTGCACATTGGGATAACAACACTAGCTAATGTTGTGGGCATCTGTAGCTGGTCACTG